ATCGTGCGCAAGGCCAAATCCAGACACAGACACTTTCTTTGGCTCTTTGGTCTCGAGCCCATGGGTCCACCTGAACTTTGGTTTCTTTTTCAGTGAAGTGGGGTCACTTATTCGGGTCTTGCCCACCTCAGGGTGTTTTTGCTGGGCCTGGATAGTTAAGTGTAAAATGGAATGGCCTTTGTTGTCTACAAAGCACTAGACAGACAGGCGGACATCGCTGTTAATGATAATCTGTGCCATATTTCGCATTTCTTGGGATGAGCAACTACTCAGTAAGTACTTCACTTCTGTGCCAGGTGCTGTGCTAAGTACTTTCTGCACACTGCATCATTTAATCCTAACCTCATTCCCATAAGGCAGCCCGTGTTATTCCCATTGCTTGGATCGAGAAGGTGAGGTTTGGAGAGTTACTGGACCAGCCAAGTCACCAGCATCTGGGTGATGGGACCAGGACTTGAACCGAGAATGTGGACTCCAAAGCCAGTGCTTTGGTTCCTAATCATCACCATCTCATAAAAAGAAGAGGTTCGTAGGCTGGGTCAGTGAAGTACCTACTATGGAAGCACGAAGTCCTGAGTTTGGATCCCCAGCACTCATGTAAAAGCCAAATGTAGTGGTGCATGTCTGTAACCCCAGGCCTGAGGCAGAGACAGGTGGATCCCAGGCTTACTGGCCGGCCAGTCTAGCCAGCAGGTGACCTTACGGGTTCAACGAGAGATGCTGTTTCAAACGCTAACGTGGAAGTCAATGGAGAAAAGACACTGTGTCAACCTCTGGCCTATTCATACATATGCACGTTCACATGCACACACCAGGACTGCCCTGGCTATTTAGTGAAAGGGGAAATGACAGCCACCTTCAAGTCGGGAAAGGACAAAGGGAACATTGGGTAATGGCTAGTGTTTTCTGAGTCCTCAGTAACCCAGGTACTTACTGTGTGAAACTTTGTTTAATGATTTCAGTAACCCTATGAGACAAACAATATTAGAATTCTTGTTTTACAAATGAAAAATAAAAAAGTCATGCACTAATTTAGTATAAAGTGGTTGGGGGCTGGAGAGATGGCTCAGTGGTTAAGAGCACTTACTGCTCTTCCAGAGGACCTAGGTTTGATTCCCAGCACCCACATGACGGCTGAAAACCATTAGCAACTTTCTGTAACTCCAGTTTTAGAGGATCCAAAACTCCTTCTGACCTCCTCAGGCAAAACACACACACACACACACACACACATACACACACACGTATAAAGTGATAATAAATTAAATTTTAAAATAATAAAATACATCTTTTGTTTCCTAGACAAGATTGACTACAATGCCGTTTACCAGACATGCCAGTAAGTATCAGGGTTATCCTTGTTTTGTTTTGGCTTTTGAGACAGAGTTTCTCTGTAACAACCCTGGCTGTCCTGGAACTCACTTTGTAGAGGAGGCTGGCCTTGAACTCAGAGATCCACCCGCCTCTGCCTCCCGAGTGCTGGGATTAAAGGTGTGCGCCACCACCCAGCTTCCAAGGCCATTTATGCAGCATCCTTTGACTCCTTGAAGTTACCCAAACACTGGAACAAATGTCCAAAGGCCTTTGGAGTCAGAGAAAGGACTTAAGTCACAACAGTATGGGTGACACACTTTAATGTCAGGAGGGTCCCTAAAGCCTCCCTTCAGCAACTACTTCCATTTCTTGCAGCTTCAAACAACTCAGATGATTGTCCACTGCATTCGGAAGTCAGACTTGGTATGAACAAGTTGACTCCTTAAGGGATCTGGAGAGTGGCAGATTGACCACAGTGGAGCCAATACAAACTCTAAAATGTGATGGGAGAAATTAGAATAGGTGCTGGGAGCCACAGAGCAGGCGTCAACGGCTGTCCCCCCCTTCACAGGCCTTGGCGTCTGCCCCTCTGACATGGGACACGGGCACAAGTACTTTGGTTCATTCTGGGTTGCCCTGGGGATTAGAAGTGCCGGGTGGCAGGCTCTGACTTATGGAATTAAGAATGGAAGTGGTGTCACTTGTACATAGTCACCATGCTGTCCGCCAGTGTCAGCTCGGTGACCTGAAACCACACACAGACAGTGGCAGTCCTGCCTTCAGACCCACTGTGAGGATAACATCACACTCTGCGAGGTGGGAGAGCACTCGCCTAGTGTGTGCAAGGAGAAAACCGGGGAGGACCGAGTTCCAGGCCAGCCAGGACTACAGGGTGAGACCTTGTCTCTAAAATAAAGTAAAAGCAAAGTGAGGTCAGTCCTCATTAAAAAGTGAGCACTGTTCACCAAAACGTTGGTGACTTGAGCCCACCCAGGAACGCCAGCCTTGTTTAAGAGTTGGGGGATGGCTCAGCTGGTAAAGTGTTTGCCACATCAGCATGAGGACCCGAGTTCGATCCCTAGCACTCATAGACAACTGCGGCACGCGTGTTAGAACCCGAGTGCGGAGGAAGCGGAGAGAGCAGGATCCCTGGGGGCTTGCTAGGAGGCCAGTCTATCCAGTCAGGGAGCTGCAGGCTCGGTGAGAGAACCACAGAGGACACCTGGTGTCAGCCTGTGGCCCCCACACGTATGTGTACACAAGTGCACGTGCACCTGCGCGCACACACACACACACACACACACACACACGAGAAGTGTGTGGGTTTCTATGCAGACAACCGTTTCCAAGAGGCCATGTTTTCTGTGACTTATTGGACAGTTCGGTTATAGGAAGATCCCCCTGGTCTGGTACTGCTAGATACATGGGCCATCGGCAGAATGAGCCGAATGGAGAGGGCCCTTTGTCTCAGGTCCTGGGTCGCCTTCACAGCTTTGCACCTGTATTATTTTGGGTCTCATGTAAAAGCGAGGTCACAGGTGCTATGGCTCCCATAGGTGACTCCAAGGTGGCATCTTCTTAGGGTGGTCTAGGGATAGTCCTGTGGGTACTGGGGGACTCTGACCCCATGTGGGAGGCAGCAGGGTCCCATTTAGACCAATATGTGCTCTCTTGGAAAGAAATTCCGAAGAAGAAAGTCAACCAGTGACTTCAGAATAGATCAGCTTTTTAATCATACAGTGAACGGTTACAGAGCTGACTTCAGGTGGGCCAACAATCACGTTTCAACAAATCTTGAAGGACGGAGATCATATGGGAATTCTTACTATGAAACTCTTACTATACAGACAATTAGAAAGTGCGTGTGTGGGAAGTGAGAAACGTGCACATTTAATAACCCACGGTCATTTCCCTTCTGAACCTGCCCCTCCAGGGTTCCCTCCTTGGACTCAGGTGACATGCCTTGTATGGCGGAGATGCAGTTCTAGGTGGGCCCTCCCACAGAGCGTGGGACTCCGGGGAGACTTCGTTTCTTCCCCAACATTTTCCATGTGCGCCCACATGACTAGCGAACAAGGGGAAACAAGCCACTTCCAAAATGCTCCCCAAGTTGCTCTAACGCAGATTAAAAAGACGGGGTGTTAAAACACGTCACTAGGCAAACACGAGCATCAAATCCAATGGGACAGGATGGAAACAGAGGGGATCTGTTTCTTGACTTAAATTTGGGGTGACGGCCTCAAAAAATAAACAAATTTAAAAAACCAGATGACTAAAGCACCCATATTTGGAACAAGTTGGTGGTTCACGGCATAGGAGTTAAGAGGCAAGACCACGCTGACCTCAGCTCTCTTGGAACATTGCCGGGGTTGAGCTGGCCAACCCAGTGCCCTCTGTGGCCTGTGCAAACAGCAGCTCAGCTCCATTAACACGCCACAGCCCGTCTCCACCTCCTCAGGGTATTCCCTGACAAGATACACTTGTGAAACCCCAAAGGCGCTCAGCTTCTGAGGGACTCCTTTGTGTCTCTGTGTCCTTCTCGTGTTCTGAGGACAATACTGTTTGCCGCACACGGGCTCCTAAGTATAACAGTACGAAGTGCCCGTTACGGTTTCTCATACAGCGGGAAGACTGGAAGTAAGCGAGGAACCAGAGAGTTACCTAGTGTTCACATTTCACCAGGCGGCAGGTGGAGAACACAGGCAGGGCTGGAGGCCCTAAGGTTCCCCCTCTGGCCTTTGGCATCACGGTTTGCTTCCAAGAGGCAACACTAGCCCAGGATGAGGGAGTGGGCTCTCACCCAGTCAAGTCTTCACATCCAGACTCCAAGGAGTTCAGCCTGGAGCCTGGGGCTCGACCAGTCCCACCCCATGGCTGATTCTCTTGGCTCAGCCACAGAAAGTTAGCTGGACAAGAGCTGGGGATGTGGTTCAGTTAGTGGCTTAACCTTTACAGGCAGACCACTGTAATGTCAGTCTGGAGCAGCTATGTGGATCCATGGGTTTTCCTTGAGGTGAGCACCTGGACACCAAAAATACTGGGTGTGGGGGTCTGGGGGCTGAGGGGGTGTGGGGGTGTGAGGCAGTGGGGGTGTGAGGCGATGGGGTTGTGAGGCGATGGGGGGTATATGAGGCGATGGGGGGGTGTGGGGCTGTGAGGCGGTGGGGGTGTGGGGGTTTGGGGGCTGAGGGGGTGTGAAGCAGTGGGGGTGTGAGGCTGTGGGCGTTTGGGGGCTGAGGGGGTATGAGGCAGTGGGGGATGTGGGGGTATGAGGCTGTGGGGGTGTGAGGCAGTGGGGGGTGAGGGGGTGTGAAGCTGTGGGGTTGTGGGGCTGTAGGGGTGTGTGTGGCAGCAGTGGTGGGGTGTGTGGAGTGTGGGAGTGCAGCAACAATGGCATCTATTGCTACGGATTCCACATGATAACTGCATGGCTGGGACATGGAAATGGCCTGAGCAGGTAGACACTGTTCTTATTTAAGGCTAACAGGACCTGGACAGAGGTGGGGACCCCTGTCATCAGGAACAGGTCCTCAGCACCTAAGCACTTCATAGTGATTAACTCAAGTCAGGCTTGATCCCCAGCACTGAACAACGACCAGACACAGTGGCAATGTCTGTCACTCAGAAGAAAGATCTTCCTCGCACAGGAAGTTCAAAGCCAGTCTGGGATATGAGTCCTTGACTTAAAAAAAAAAAAAAAAAAAAAAAAGATTAAAACCAATTCAGCTTCCCAATCAGCCAGTGATCCGATTCTGCTCTGAGGTGTGTTTAAGATCAACGATTCCAAGAGCAAAGGGCCCAGCTGCCCAATCAGCACTCTGATTATATACCCTCAATCTGAGAAAAAGGATCCCGCCACTAGGTTACAAGTATCCCTGGGCAGCTCCTATGTGGACACGTAGCTCAAGCGACCTACACATGGCCGGTTGTGCCTACAGACTGGACAGATGGTGTGGGGCCCCTCGGATGAGCGCCGGCCCGATGCCCTCGACGAAGCTGCTCCATTGATCGTAGTGCTCCTTCAGGTCTGAATGGGTACAAACAGGAAGGAGGGTTAGGTACACCCCTGTAGAGCCAGGTCCGCTTCCACGACGGGGCATCCTAGACAGGGGGGCACCTGGGGCACCAAAAGGACTGGATGTGACAGCCTCCCAGGCAGCCTAGGAGGGAGACCCAGGAGTCAGGGCAGCTGGTCTACCCAGGCAGGCCTGGAGAGGCTATGGAAGCATGGTGGCTTCCATTTGAGCCAAGTGGGAGGCAGAGTCATTGAGCAAGAGACAGACTGAGTGAAGAGGTGCTGGAGGTGTGGGGAGGAAGAGGAGGTGTGTGATCTTCCAGGAGGGCAGGGGAGGGGCAGAGGAGGAAGAGGAGGCATGGGTAGTTATCAGGAAGGAAGGAGGATTTCACTGGGAAGCAGCATCGCTGTGCTCTGGTGGCGTCAGGAGCTGAGGGGGGCTGCTGATCCACCTCTGGCCCATTTCAGTTGGGCGGTGACAAGGTACCCCAAGCTTCCTTTCTCTGTGAAGCCAGTTGGTGACGATACAGCGTCTTCACTCAGACTCTGCTTTCTCTCTCCTCACCTGGGTTACCACCAGAGCCTCCATGCTAGCCACACTCTTGGTTCTCAACTCTCCGCCTCACGCATCCTCTACACGTAGCCAGACTGCAAGCCTGTCCAACCAGGCCATCCTCCCGCCAAGAACCTACCGCAGGCTCCTCCCAGACTGAGGAGTCAGATCCCAACTCGCTTCCGCAAACCTATGGCGGCTGCTTCTGACTTCGGCCACTTCTCCACCTCCCCCTTCAACAGCTCCCTGTCCTGAGCTTGGGATGTGTGGGAACTACCCACACTAGCAGGCCTTCTGTCTTAGAAGACCCCTGGCCCTTCCCTCCCATGGCCCCTCTTCATCAGTCAAGACCAAAGCCAGCGTCGCCTTGTCTAGGCAGCTGCTTCCTGGTTGTGCTCTCCCTTCCCTCCGGTCAGCTCTATCCCCTGGGTCCTCCTAGGCAGCCACTGTGTGCCTGCAGTCAAAGACACGGTTGTATATCATGACACCGCGGCACACCAACAAAGGGGCACGGGCTGGGGGGGCTGAACGCTGGCACTGCCACCAGAACCAGATAACCTTGAACAAATTACAGAGTACTGACATTTTCTAAGCTTTTATATATATATATATATATACACACACACACACATACATATATATACATATATATATTCATCTGAAAAAAAAATGAAGCTAATAAATTAAAAACAACAAAACTACTGGAAAGGGCCATCTCCAGAATCAACCACGATAGATAACAAATCTAGAGTACTGAGTATGAGAAGTACTGGTGACATCAGTGCCCTTGGCATAAGCAGACTAAATCCCCAGCAACCTTCCTCCAGTCAAGGACTCCAGCCTTCCACCTCCTCCTGGCCTCTCCCTTTGACTGTCTCTGCTACTAAAGGGAGCTCGTCACAACACTGTGGACTCCCCTGTCACCTTCCAACTTTTTTCTTTGAGACAGAGTCTTACCATGTAGTCCTAGTGACCTATAACTCACTCTGTACACCAGACTGGCCTCAAACTCACCGAGATCCGCCTGCCTCTGCCTCCTGAGTGCTGGGATTAAAGTGTGTGCCGCCCTCACTCCTAGCATGCCCTGGCATCTTTAATCTTGGGCTCCTATAATGGCATGTGCCTAGGGGAAACAGGAGGTGTGGGCTGAGGACCAGGGAGCAGGAACCACTCAAGTCTTGGGAGGTGGGTCCAGGAGAAAAGGCATGTCTCTGTGAGCCCCCTGCAAGTAACTCAGGTTGGAGTAGTTCTCTGCTCATAATTTGCAAGGTGAAATGAGCAAATACAAACAAAAATACAAATCTGGCTCAGAGTAGCAATGTGTTCTTAATAGAGCCGGCATATTTTAAACATAAGCACAATCCAAACCAACTGGGTTGCATACATTGGGGAAACATGAATGTATCCCGGCTATTCAGGGGAAGACCCATGTCCAGAGCACAGAGGGGAGAGGCCTGCTGGGCCAGGTGCTGGCCAGACCACATCTGGTGTAGTGTGTTCCAGTCAGGGCACCTCTCTTTAATAGAGGCCCTGACAAACTGCACCCAAAGGAAGGCCATAATAGACTGCATGGGGGAATTGAACAGGGAATTACTGCAGGTCCGATGGCCATTAGCTTAATGAACAGAGGACATTAGACCACAAATATCTAAAGAGCTGCCACATGCTATCTGAGCCTTCTCTGGTCAGCTCTTGGGATAACCAGAGCAACCGTGTGGGTGTGTGTGTGTGTGTGATAAAGTATCAGATCTTGCTGTTAGATTACAGTTCAAACCTTAATGGTCCAGGCAAGAGTGTGTGTGTGTGTATGGGGGTGAGGTGTATGTGTGTGTGTGTGTGTGTATGTGTATGTATGGGGGTAAGGTGTATGTGTGTGTGTATGTGTGTATGGGGGTGAGGTGTATGTGTGTGTGTGTGTGTGTATGTGTATGTATGGGGGTAAGGTGTATGTGTGTGTGTATGTGTGTATATGGGGGTGAGGTGTATGTGTGTGTGGGGGGATAAGGTATCAGATCTTGCTGTTAGGTTGGTCCCGGCAAGCCTGGCTGCCTCCTGATGAAAGCTGACTAGTGAGGGGTCAGCTTCCTGAGGCTCCTGGTGCTTCCTGTCCATGCTGACGGTACTGGAAGGGACATATGATCGTGAAAGCTCCAGGCTGGGGCTGGACAGTGACCCACAATGTGTTGGTAGGCAAAGATGAGCGGACACAGCCAAGTCCCCCTCTTGGGATCTGGTGTCAAGAAATAATCATAGTAAACACATAAGCAAATAAAATGAAGTCACTACCCCCAAAGTTTACCGCCCCCAAATACAGCTGAAGAGGAAAGCCGTGAACCCACACGAGAGAGAGAGAGAGAGAGAGAGAGAGAGAGAGAGAGAGAGAGAGAGAGAGAGAGAGAGAGAGAGAGAGAGACAGAGAGAGAGAGAGAGAGAGACAGAGAGAGAGAATCAGGTACCAGTGGTATAAACTAAGCCAGTTCTGAGGAAGTAGAGACTGACCAGACAGACACTTCAGGGCAGAAAAGAAGAGCACAGAAGAATGTGAGAGCTGAAGAAGACAAGGAAACACGAAGACACACACCGAGCCTGAGGGGCAGAGGAAAAAACACACCCACCCTGCACATGACCTCGGCTCCCTTGACTGTCAGCCACTGGGCCCAGGTATACCTCAGAAACAAACTTCCAGGTTTTCCCTTTTCTTCTTTTTCTTTTTCTTTTCTTTGAGACAGGTTTTCTTTGTGTAGCCCTGGCTGTCCTGGAACTCCACCTGCCTCCGCCTCCCAAGTGCTGGGATTAAAGGTGTGCACCACCACTGCCTAGCTCACTTTTTTCCCCCTTGAGGTAAACTAAAACTCTAGTCTTTGAGGCCCAAAAAAGTTTGATTTGCCTGTCAACTCCTTTTTGCAGTGTGTGTGTGTGTGTGTGTGTGTGTGTGTGTGTGTGTGTGTGTGCGCATGTGCACATGCCACAGTGAGTGTGTGCAGTCAGAAGACAACTCTGTGGAGTCAGTTCTCTCCTTCCACCTTTCTGTGGGTTCCAGGGATTGAACTCAGGTCATCAGGCTAATGCCACAAGCACCATTTACCCACAAAGCCATCTCGCCAGCCCCTAGACAATCACTTCAAGCATCCTAACTCCCAGTGGAAAAGCCAGCTTGCTTGTCCATCAGAGAAGACACTGGGTAGAGAGAACACCAGGGACCTCAAAAGGCTCAGCCATTTAGCTGGTCTGTGACTTATGATATTGGTCATAATCCTTCCATGCTTGGTTTCTTAAAAAAAAAACTTTTTTTTTTGCCCAGTTATTATCATAAAGACCCCACAATGCACAAGTGATGGTAATTTTGGGGATCAAGGTGGTAGAGTAAAGAGAGGCACAAGTGCTGTCACCGTGAGGAAGCCAGGACCCAGAAAGGCGAGGTGACCAGGCCAAGGCCATTCTCTAGGAAGTCAGGGCCTAGATGGGCAGACCTTCAGTAAATGATTTTCTGTGCTGCTCTTCAGTCAGGCTTCCGTTTGCCATGGATCTCCTGGGTCCTTGTCATGTCAGGACAGAACAGGGTGCTGCAGGAGACCCAGGGGACCCCACGTGTGCTCCACAAACCCCAGATGTCTCCTTACCAAGGTGCTTCTGCAGGAACGCCAATATGGCCTGCACCATAATCTCCTGACCTTCATAAGGGTCCAAGGTCCCACGGGAGTGATTGGAAAAGAATTTAGCAATCAGGTTGCCAGTCACGAAAGCAAAGTCAGTTTGACTCCGATGAACAGCTCCGCTAGAGAGAAAGAAAGAGCCGGTAGGAGGGTGGAGGCCAGGCACACGGGTGTGCCTGCTCTGTGCAAGGTGCTGCCCGTGTGTCGTGTGTAACTCTTGCAGCAACCTTGTCGGAGAAGTACTTTGTCAAGTGATAGTCTGAGGAGGAAAGAGGTGACACTGGACAGAGCTAGGATTTGAACCAAGGTGTGTCTGGCTGCATCTGGCTCAACATTTAGATCACCATGCCTGACAATACCGGGAAGGAGGGGGAGGGGGCCCACGGAGGCTCCCTAGTAAGGCTTTACTCAAGGTCAGACAGTCTGAGCTTCCTTTGCCCAGCAAGGCTGCATAATAGGATGATTTGGCCAAAGGTATGGTTATCAGGTGTTTTGAAGGGTCTACACTTGGTACTTTATACCTCAACCTTGAAAGGGGGAGGTCTTTTGCCTCTCCCCTTGCTGATGTATAAAAAGTCCATCATGAATAAACTCGGGCGACTGGGTATTGACCCAGGACCCTCCTGAACTATTCTGTGTCTCTGTCTTTTTCTTCGTCTACGTCTACATTTCTTCCTAATATTTCTCAATTCCTCACTCCTCCATTCAAGAGCCCTTCAACAGGTCGGGGCTGGTCCCCGACAGGAGGGTGAACTTGTTAGAGGGGAGCTGGGAGAGGGAGGTAAGGTTCCCAGCACCTGCTGTTCCTGTTACGTCACAGCTTTTGTCCCGTGACCCCAAAGCCCAGAACTGTGCCATATAGTCAACAGGGAGAGGAAACATCTGCTTTTAGTTAAATAATCACAGAAGAGGGGGCACAGAAAATTGAGTTGTAGATTAAGCCCTTTGGTTGTCATGCATCCGTATATCCATCCATCCACCCTTCCTTCCATCCATCCATCCATCCATCCATCCATCCATCCATCCTTCCTTCCTTCTATCCATCTATCCATCCATCCACCCTTCCATCCATCCATCCATCCATCCATCCATCCATCCATCCATCCTTCCTTCCTTCTATCCATCTATCCATCCATCCACCCTTCCATCTATCCATCCATCCATCCATCCATCCATCCATCCAAGCCTGCTGCTCTGGGGGAAACAGCTCCCACAGAAATACAGTGACCGCAGAGCAGTGAGAGGTGAAGAGAATGTGGTTTATCTGGCCAGCATCTAAGTGGGCTTGGGCTGGGTCTCATGTTGATACCCAAGTTGGCCTTGAACTTTCCATCCCCCTGCCTCAGCTTCCTATGTGCTGGGATTACAAGCATGCATCAACAGGCTCAGCTTGCAGGAATGACTTTTAGAAGGAGGCCTATGTTAGGTTAACCTCTGTGAACTGGATATCCATGGAAATTCTACAACCCCCCTCCTCAAACTGTCAAAGCCTACTCTAGCCATAATCTTCAAAACACAGTAAAACTCCCATAGAAGGCCAGGGAGGTCTGGAATCCGCCCAGGTCCAACACACCCATTTTCCAGAAATTACTAAGTAAATCCTACTGTGCAGCTGCACAAACTGTTAAAGAAATCTCTGTGGGTGGGGCTGAGCAGAGAAGACAGACATATGAAACCCTAGAGGAATTATGACATAGGGATTCTGGCAATATTCAGATGTTCTGTGAATACATAGAAAGTTCTGGATAACCTAGAAGAAATGAAGGGAGTCCCAGCTGGCTAAAAGATGAATAGGACACTGGGGTTGTGCTTTGGGGCATACTTACAGGACAGTCACAATCCTGGACTGCTCATGCTGGGCACATATCTTCTTCATCAGGTTGATGCTTTCCACTGTCTGGAATTTCTCAGCATTGATGAAGAACACAGGACCCCGGGCCTTGGGGTAAAAGTCATGTTCCAGAGGGAACATCCAAGCATCCAGGGCCACAGCACACCTGGGATAAAGCAGACATTTGGAGCTGCCACTAAGGAACTCAGGCAAGAATACTTAGGGTGGAGGGGGACTGAATGGGACTCTTCTCTCCAATGGGCTGCGGACTCAGAAAGCCAAGGACTGGGTACTAGGACCCACACCCACCTACTCTGATCTTACATAGGAGTCCCTTTACCTGTCCCCAAAGAGCCTTTTAGAATTTATACTCCCTCAGAGCAAGGGTCAGATGTCCTTCTCAGGATCTACCCTCAGGTGATGCACTCCAGTTCTGCAGAATGTCACCTCATTCATTTAATCACTCAGTTCATCCAATATTCGCTGAGTGGCTGCTGCAGCCTTAGCCTTCTGGATGCAGAGATCAATGAGAAAGGTCATACATCCCAGGAGCTCCGAGGACAGCAGGGGAGGAGAGCGAGAGACTTGGAAGGTATCGAAACTACAGCTCAGAGCTCTGATGCACAGCTGCTACATGAGCCCAGAACCCACGTGACAGAGAACCCTACAAACTTCCCTGGTACCAAGGGCAAAACTGTGGCACCATGAGTCAGAGGCACACCCACTCCATCTTCTCCATTTCAGCAGGGGATGGTCACCATCTACTGTAATGACAGGTACAACCAGAAAGTCTCTGCTTCCTTTTCCCTGCTCTTGTACATCACTAAGGCTGGACCACTCAAGTGCATCTGACTCCATCCCTGCTCCCCATCCTCTGAATCCCTCATGCAAACTCATCCTCTCTCAGTTCTGCTCTGACTTGGACCACATCCACCTAGCCTTCAAGCTTGTCTGCTACATCATACAGCAGCCAGGAAGCTTTTTAAAAATCTAAGATTGATTGTGCGCTGCTTAAAATCCTTTAATGGTGGTCTCATTTTATTTTTTTATTTTTTATTTTTATTTTATTTTTTTTTGGTTTTTCGAGACAGGGTTTCTCTGTGTAGCTTTGCGCCTCTCTCTCCTGGAACACACTTGGTAGCCCAGGCTGGCCTCGAACTCACAGAGATCCGCCTGGCTCTGCCTCCTGAGTGTTGGGATTAAAGGTGTGCGCCACCACCGCCCGGCTTATTTTATTTTTTAAGACAGGGTCTAGTTTAATCTTGCCTTGAACTCTGTGATCCTCCTGCCTCAGCCTCCAGAGCACAGAGATACAGGTACGTACATTACGTCTCTTGGCCTGTTTGTTTTCTTTATTGTACTTAAGTGCTAAGAATTTGCTAGTTGCTTTCCTCCCCCAACAACATAATCTCTCAAGTCAGACCTTGTTTTGCTGATCACTGAATCCCCAGCACATCAAACAGTGACCAGAACACGACCCTTGTATAACACATTTCTGCTGAATGAATGAATGAGTGAATGAGTTAGTGAGTGAATGAATGAATGGTGTGTGAAGCTTGATGACAAAAGCATCACCGGTACTCACCGAAACTGGACTTCCTGGGCCAGGGCAAGAACAGCTGTAGCTCCTCCAAACGAATGTCCCATCACAGCCACCCGGCTCCTGTCGATGCCGTCCTGAGGGAGACAGAGAACTCAGCCGAGCAGACACTCACAGAGAAGTAACTGTAAGAGAGTGAAGTGCGGGTACGACGCCAGCCAAAACTGCACCATTTGAGCCTCTGGCCGGGGCAGGATGGCATACCGCTGTGATCCTAGCTTAATTCTGAGACACAATGATGGCAAGTTCAGGCCCAGCCTGGGCTATACAGTGAGACACTGTCACCATAAAAAAAAAAAAAAAAATGAATCTCATTGGCACAGAGCATGTCTGGCACAAAAGAGCTGAGGGTTTAATACCCAGCACAGCAAAGAGAAGAAGAGGACTTTCTGTCGCCTGGAGAGCTGATCTTTGGCGTGAACAACCTTCAGGGGACTGTTTTTCATCTGGACTTTTTGTTTTTATTTTGAGACAGGGTCTCACTATGTATTTCTCACTAGCCTGTATAACTCACTCTGTAGACCAGGCTGGCCTCGAACTCTCAGAGATCCCTCTCCCTCTGCCTCCAAGTGCTAGGATTAAAGGTGTGTGCCACCACACTGGTTCATCTTAACTTTTGGAATCCTCTGCTAATACTAGTATCTGCTGAGGGGAGGCATTCCAATGTCTGTGGGTACCCGAACAGACAGAAGTTGCCAGGCCTCCACCAGCTCATCTAAAGGCATGCTGAGGAGCAGCCCCTTCATCCTCTACAGCAGCGCTTCTCAACCTGTGGGGACCATTCTGACAAACTTCTATCTCCAAAAACATTTACGATTCATAACAATAGCAAAACCACAGTTACGAGGTAGCAATGAAATCATTTTATGGCTGGGGGTCACCACAACACGAGGAACTGGATTCAAGGATCACAGCGTTAGAAAGGTTGAGAACCGCTGGTCCCCAGTTCCTGCCTCACAAGTTCCTCGAGGTCAGCGCAGAGCACACAGAGGGGAGCGCAGCGAACTGTCGCTGGCTCCATTTTTTTCTGGAGTGAGGATTGCTTATGCAGAAAGCAAGTCAGGCCCTACTTCCTCTGTGCGTCTGTCCTGATTTTTATCCACAGCCCAGGGAGGGTTGGTGTGCTCTGACAGCTCCATAAGTGTCTATTTCGGGTTGTTCCCAGAAGCCTTCGGGGTATGGTTCTATAAAAAGGCACCGCCATGCCTGCTAAGGGGCTAGGGAAATCTCCCCAGGCTTCATGTGCCACTCTGTTCAGAAGCCCTGCTCTCCTCAACATCTAGCCCAGGGTGGGCATCCATTCTCCCTCTTGGCTGAGAGAAGCACCCAGGGGATGGGCGCTTTAGGTTTTAAAACAGAAGTGACTATTCATAAGCCTCCAAAATCAGGTTTGTAGAGAAGTCTCCCATCCAGTTTCCTTTCCACCAGCTGCTTGCTTCCTGCTCCCAATCAGTGACAGTTTCTTCAGTGTCCTGGCAGAACTATCACTGAACAGACAAGTAAACAGGAGTGTGCACGCATCCCTCTCCCCACAGGCGCTCCTGCCGAGAGTGTCTCTGTGGAGCAGTATTAGTACAGAGGGGGTTGCTGTCCTTCCCAATGGCTGCTCTTGACATCACTTGGAAAGAGACAGCTGGCCGCTCACTAAATCTGTCCCCAGACACACAGCTAGACCATTTCTTTGCAGTTCCATGTGACAGTCCTAGCTAACAGCATGAGCGAAAGTCTAACTTCCAAATCTGGAAGTTTGGTTAAGAGCACTGGCTGCTCTTGCAGAGGACCTGGATTCGACTTCCAGCACCCAGGTCATGCTTCTCACAACTGCCTGTGACTCCAGCTCCAGGGGAGTCCATACCTCTGGCCTCTGCAGGCACCATGCTTATGTGTACACATCCACATAAAGATACACACACTAACATATAACCTAAAATAATAAAAATAATAAACCATATATATATTTAAAAGTCTAACTTCCAAGGACATCTATAAAAGCTCTTAGGTACTGCCCTGTCCATGCCCTTCTGTTGGTCTAATGTATTAGCATACACCCATGCCCCTCTGTTGCCTAGTGTATGGATTCCGGGGCTGCTCAGGCACAGGCCTGGGTTGCTAGCAACTACTTTTCTTGCTGGGAATCTGGTGAGAATGAAGGCCACACACGCAGAGGGAAACTGAGCCTACAGAGGGGATTTAAAAATGCAGAGCTGACAGGTCTGAGACCCTGGATCCCACTGTAGCAGCCTGAAGTCACCCGGTGCTCCTGGCGGCTGTATGAGCCAGCAAGACTGTGAGGAATGTGTAGCGCTGGGTCATCCCAACTGCTGCCATACCTTCAAGGTCATCAGGTCCAATCCACCGGGGAAGACATTGAGGACAGTCTTCCCAGCCGAGGCATCCTGCAGGATCCGCAGCACCCTCATACACTCTCTCACTCGCTGATGCACCTGAAACACAGCCGGTCTGCTGGAGCATCCCACAACCACTCAGCAGGAGTGGGAGTCTGCCCACTGCATCTCAGCAAACCCTGCAGGCCCCTTGCAGCTCACACAGGCATGCCCAACAGCATCGAGAGCGGACCTAGGAGTTCAGCGTCCTCTTGCCCACCCGCAGGGCCATCAGAATGGCCATATCAGACGATGTTCATGAGATCATTTGCCAACAGAGCGGACTGTCAGTGTTCGTATTCTCAAACCCACTTACAGCAGTCTGCTGCTTTTGTCTGCCACCCCTTCTCCCATCAACCCGGCCTTTTAAGGACTGCCCCTACCCCGACCTACCCCCAACAACCACACAATGGACTTTTTGGTGGCAATTTTCCTTTTGCCTCTTCTCTGCAGGCTAGGAATCCTTTATAGGAATTTTCAAACTTGAGCTTGGCTCTGAGATGGAGGACCAGGGAACAACACCCAGAGTCTAGTGCTCTGCTGATGGCTAACTATCAGCAGTCAGAGCTGGCAGCCTCTCAGAAAGAAAGCTAGCCTGCAGACGGGAGTCACGCAGAGACGGGGATGCACCTGTCCCCTCTGAGAGCAAGTTCCAGAGGTCTCACTTTCTATCTCCTACCCACGGGAGCCAATCAGCTCCCCAGCCACCTAAGTAGGCTCTCCGTTAACCTCAAGAGCCCTGTGATTCATACCTTACTCATTCCCACGGATGTGGTGAGCTCAGACCCACCATGCCGAGGCTTTTGAGAGAGAAAGTTGGCTAAAAGTTGCTTGTGGCTGACTGCAGGTCCATGCTAATGGCCTGGTCCCTATGGGGATGCTATTGGAAGGTGGAGTCTTGAGAAGCTGGGGCCCAGTGGGAGGTCTTTAAGTCATTGAAGACCTGCCCTGAAAAGGGGTGGTGGGATACCACTACCCTACCCTGCCTTCCCTGCCATATGGGACCCTCACCGGAGGCCCAAAGCAATAGGTCCACCTGACCTTGGCTGCCACTTTCAGAACTAAGGACTAAAAACGCTGCTCTTGTGTAAGGTGATTATTTCGGGTATTTTGCTGGAGAGAGGAAAGATGACTAGAATCACGATGTGCTGCAGAACCAGCCTGCCTCCATCTTCGGCTTAAAAGCCATCTTATAGTAAAGACAAACTGGGTTTATTCCTGTTTGTGATTAAACCTCTGTTTCTCAAGGACTGGGCTATGCCCTACCTGTGACCTGCACTACAAATGGTTCTGTACCGCCTGATCCAGGAAACGGCCATCGTGTCTTTGTTCCAAAAAGTTATTTATAACCATTCTGCAACCTTGTCTTTGCTTCAGAAGGTTAAATGGCCACCTGTGACACCTTGTTATGACTACGACGACCTTGGTATGCCCACCTTGAACCAAGTCTTTGTTTCAGAAGGGACTAACTTCTTACGCCTATGTTCTGCTCCTGTAACCCCAACTAGCTTGAAATTGAGAAATTAGAAACCCCCTACCCGTGAGCTACAAAAGCCTTGTCTTCCTCACATCTAAGGCTAATCTCTTGAACCCTGCCTCAGGGGGAGGCAGCCCGTGTACAGGAATGAAAAAGCTTGCTTTAGTTAATGGCTTGCTTTAGTTAATGGCTTGCTTTAGTTAATGGCTTGCTTTAGTTAATGGCTTGCTTTAGTTAATGGCTTGCTTTAATCTGGCCGTGATGATTTGGGTCGGTGGTCTTTCTCCTTCCATCTTTGGGATCAACCACGCCAGTGGGCATGAATCTACCTTGCCATTCTGATCATGGTACCGTGACTATGCCAACAGGCACAAGCCTACCTGGGGATTCCTAACGTGGAATTCCTTCTCCCCTTCCTTGATTCGACGGAAAGGGATCCATTCCTCCTCCAGGGATTCAGTGGGCTGGCTCTCTTGTGGGGTCTGCTTGCAGAAGTAGGTGGTCGAAGCTGACTGGTCCCTGAACCACACACACATTCAGAGAGAAAGCCAGAAGACAGCGGTGAGCTTATTTCTCCCCTTTACTCACACCTCCCTTCCAACCATGATACACAGGCTCTCTGCCTGGCTGGCAGGTAAGGAGACCAGGGGTATGTGAAGGAGAGCAGAAAAAAACTGGGGACAGGCCTGGGTTTGAGCCCAGAGTCAGCTGGGTCACTTTCAGCCAGCTATTGAACATCTTTAAACCTTGGTGTTCTACTCTTTTTTTTTTTTAAGATTTATTTATTTATTATGTAACAGTGTCCTGTCTGTACACCAGAAGAGGGCATGAGATCTCATTACAGATGGTTGTGAGTCACCGTGTGGATGTTGGGAATTGAACTCAGGACCTCTGGAAGAGCAGCCAGTGCTCTTAACCGCTGAGCCATCTCTCCAGCCCGGTGTTCTACTCTTTAAATGGGTATCATAACTGCTTTGCATGGTTATTAGAAATAATACATGTAGCTCAGTGACAGAATGCTTGCCTGTGGGGGCGGTCTGATGCCCACAAACTAACAGAGCATAATGCGTCGATGGGGACTAGCCTATGCCCTGGCTCTCTACAGGTAACCAGCTGACTGCAGTTCACCGGGTACCTTCTCACCTGTGCTCCACCACAGCCACCACAAAGCCACGCGAGGCCAGCTCCATGCTGAAGGCTGAGTACACCGCCCTGGAGAGTCACAGGGAGAAGAGATCAAAAACACGGCCACCCCAGTTCACCCACACTCCGCTAGTGGCCACCTCAAAAGCCTGGCTAGGTAGGTGTCATGGGTGGTCCTCCTCCATGTACCTTCCCCAGACAGTGCAGCCCTCATCCTGGGGCTCTGGGGTCCTCCATGGTGTGTGTGCAAGTCAATCTTCAATCGGAGATGCCTTTCCACTCCACTGAATCAGCCTACCCCAACCCCAGCTAGATTCTGACTACACTAACGTATCTGTGTGTACACGTTCCTGTGTGTTAACGTGTGTGTACACATGTGTGTGTGTCTGCATGTGGAGGCCATGTTGTCAGTGTCGTTGTCAACCACTTTCTACTTTCTTCTCATTATTATTATTATTAGCAGTAGCAGCAGCAGTAGTAGTAGTTTTTTCAGACAGGGTTTCTCACTGAACCCAGAATTTATCAATTCTGAGACGAGCTGGCCAGAGTGTTCTAAGGAGCCTCCTGTCTCATCCACTCCTGAACTGGGATTACAGGTGTGTGTGACCACGGCCAGACTTTACCCGGGCTTGGGGGTCAAACTCAAGCCATGCTTATACAGCAAGTACCTAACCCACTGAGCAGGGCCTCACTGCGTAGCCCAGGCTTGCCTGGAACGCTCTATGTATGTAGACCAGGCTGGCCTTGAACTCACAAAGATCCGTCTGCCTCTGCCTCCTGAGTGCTGGAATTAAAAGCATGTGCCACAATGCTCAGCATAAATATTTTTTAAAACCACACAAGGGGTCAGGTGATAGTGGGGCATGCCTTTAATCCCAGCACTTGGGAGGCAGAGGCAGGCAGAACTCTGTAAGTTTGAGGCCGGCCTGGTCTACGAATCGAGTTCCAGGACAGCTAGGGTTGGTGCACATAGAAACTCTGTCTCGAAAAAAACAAAACCCAAACCAAAAACAACAACAAAAACAAAAACAAAAAACCCACACACAAGGGCTGGCAAAATGGCTTATTAGATCAAGGTTCTTGCCTCAGCAGGCTAGCAACCTGAATTTGATCCCCAGGATGCCCATAATAGATGCAAGGAGAAAACTTACTTCACAAAGTTATTTTTTGCCTTCCACAAATGAGTCCACAAATACCATTTACGATGATAATAAATTTTAAGCACATACACAAATCAAAAGTAATTTTAAAATTTCAAGTAGTTGTCCGGGCGGTGGTGGCGCATGCCTTTAATCCCAGCACTCGGGAGGCAGAGCCAGGTGGATCTCTGTGAATTCAAGGCCAGCCTGGGCTATCAAGTGAGTTCCAGGAGAGGCGCAAAGCTACACAGAGAAACCCTGTCTCGAAAAACCCAAAAAAAAAAAAAAATTCAAGTAGTCATGTTTTTTAGGTTAAAAGGGGCACTGGGGTGTCTGGAGAGCTGGCTCAGCAGCTAAGAGCACTGGCTGAACTTCTGGAGGACTCAGGTTTGACTCCTGGCATGCACATTGTGACTTGCAACCACCTGTAACTCCAGTTACAGGGGACCTGGCACCCTCTTCTGGCCTCCCCAGGCATTGCATGCATGTGATAGACATACGCAAGCAAAACACCTATACACATTTAAAAAAAAAAAAAAAGGAGGGGGCCGTAGCTCAGTGGTAGAACACTTGCCTAGCATGCACAAGGCACGGGGTTCAATTCCCAAGACTGCAAAAAACAAAGAAAAAGGGTTTTTTTTAGCCAGTTGTAATAGTATATAAGTATAATCCCAGAACTTGGAAGGCAAAGGCAAGAATATCAGGAGTTCAAAGTCATCCTTAGTTACATAGTAAATATAAAGCTAGCTTGTGCTACATGAGTTACTGTCAAAAAAGGAAGGAAGGAAGGAAGGAAGGAAGGAAGGAAGGAAGGAAGGAAGGAAGGAAGGAAGGAAGGAAAGCAGGCAGGCCGGCCAGACATGCTAGTGCACATTTGCTATCCTATCACTTGAGACATGAAGGTGGGATCAGGAGTTCACAGCTAGCCCTGTCTGTACATCAAGATCTTGTCTCAAAACAAGAAGAAACAGCAGAAGAGACGGCTCAGCTGTTAAGAGCACTTGCTACTCCAACTGCCTATCACTCCAGTTCCAAGGTGTCTGGAGCCCTCTTCTAGCCCCAGTGGACACTTGCACACAAGTGCACATACACACATGCAGACACACATAACTAAAAAAAAAATCTTTAATCTTTTTTTAAGTAAAAAAAAAAAAAAAGACAGACAGGCAGTGGTGGCACACGCCTTTAATCCCAGTACTCAGGAGGCAGAGGCAAGCAGATCTCTGTGAGTTTGAGGCCAGCCTGGTCTACAAAGTGAGTTCCAAGACAGCCAAGGCTACACAGAAAAACCATGTCTCAAAAAATCAAAACAAAAAAAAAATCAAAACCAAAACAAAACTAACAACAAGAAAGTAAAAAGAAGCAAATTAACTTTATTGATATATTTTATTTAAGCTGTAATAGCCTAGTATACTTTTATACCTTATTTAACCTATTGTAATCTATTGAAATGTTATTGTATTCTTTTACTCCCATGCAGTCTTTGTACTCTGGTGTATATTTCACACCTGAAGCGTGTCTCAATGTTGACCAACCATATTCTAAGCCTTAAAGAGCCACACGGAGCTGACTGCTTATGGACCAAACAGCTCTGACAAACGAGATGTAGTCAGCTGTATTAAATACAGCTATCCAGGAGATTTTCTTTTAAAAGCAGAGTGCTCCTTTATATTGCCTGGGATGCAGACATAATGACTGGAACAAAAGCAGCCACCATAGGCCATGAGACAACTTTATCATGGAAACTACACACAGCAGAGCAAGATCATAAAAGTCTGGTTCTCTGTTACATTCATGCACCGTAACATCAACCCCAATTGTCTGTCTCTGACTCCCCTCCTCCCTTTCTTTCCTGTTTCTTTCCTGCGGGATTTTATGTAGTCCAGGCTGGTCTCAAACTCACTATTCAGCAGAAGATGACCTGGAACTCCTGATCCTCCAGCTTCTAGCTTCTAAGTGGTGGGTTACCAGCAGGTGCCCTGTGCCCGCCCTTCTAACTTGTTTTAACTGAGAAAGAAATAAAGAAGTTTGTTTGTGGGTGGATGCTGTTTTCTTCTTTTGTTGCCATGCCATGTTTACACTCATGATGCTCCTGTCTCGGCCTCTCAGGGGCTGAGTATGCATGCACCGCGAGCCCAGGGAAGGAATGGATTTGATCATGTTTCAGTCACTCAGGTCTGCTGTTGTCTGTTAAATACCTTTGTAACTGAGGTTTCCTTCCGGGGTCTCCCAGGTTTCCAGAGAGGCAGCGAACTGGATGAGTGCCTCCTGATCCCTTCCCGGTGTGTGCTGTGTAATGTAGACCAGATGCTGCTTGCTACCCAGGGCCCAGTCACTCCTATCTGCCTACTTCAGAGGGCTGTGTGGGGACCCCAGGGAGCAATGGCGCTCTGGAGGCCAGTTAGGTGGTATTTACTTACACATGTTCTTCCCTGGGATGGAAAGCTACCCATCAGTGAACAAGGGAAGAATTTCAAGGTGAGATGAACCAGAGAAACTAAAAAAGAGACTGTCCCTTGACCCTCCTTCCATCTTCCTTTTGGAATTTCACTCATGGTTAATGAAGGATGTTTCTACGGGCTCACTCCGGTCTACTGAAGAATGACATCCCAATGGAGCTTTCTAGTCAAAGGGCCACTTCCACATCACGCACTCACGGCTCTCTCCAGCATAGCTATGGGTGGGGAGGGAGTGTTTCCTAGTTCCTTCTCTCTAACAGGCTAACACACACACACACACACACACACACACACACACACACACACACACACACACACACCAGCCCTGAAGGCTAGGACTGTCTACTCACAGCAGGCTCACTCTCAGTTTACTACAAAAGAAACCAGCACAGAAAACCACACACTTGCCTCCCTACCCTTATCTTCACACCTACTCTCCGCTTCCGGCCACCGGCTAGTTATGTTTGTCTGTATACCAGCTCCTCTAGTGTGGGTGCCTTTCTGAATGTGTGTATGTCTGGATTTCCCACCTTCCTTTTGTGCCAGAGGGCCAGCATCCAACAGGTGCTTAAGAGAGGTTGGTTGAATGAATGGAAATCTAGCAAAACAGCCCTCTGTTCCTTTCGTAATGAGTATTTACTGGGAAACTATGACTTCCAGACACTGTCATACACAGTGAGGGCACAGAAGACAGGCGTGGTGTCTGTCTTCACAGGGGCTACAGTCTAGCAGGGAAGACAGACACTGGAACATAATTACACAAGTGATAAATGCACTGTGGGGCTGTCTCAGCAACCAAGAGAGAGCACTGCTCCTGCAGAGGACCCAGATTCCCAGCACCCACATTGGGAGGCTCACAAGCACCTGTAACTCCAGCTCCAGAGGATCTGAAGCTTTCAGACACCTATATTCAGATACACAAACACACACACACATGCATGCATACACTCATGGACTCACACAACACACACACATGCATACACACATAATTAAAACTAGAACAAATCATTTTTAAAATATGCTGCAATTATGTTAAGTACTGAGAAGTAAATAGCACTTGAAAACTCAGCCTCATAGAGGAGTCAGGATGGGCACCCTTAGAAAGGGACACACATACCATGTGTGCAATGCACACCTCTAGTTCAATATTTGAAAATTTAAAAACAGAATTAAGTTCAAAAAGCTACTAAAATGTTTCATTTAGGACCTGGAGAGATGGCTCAGTGGTTGAGATCACTGTCTGTTCTTCCAGAGGACCCGAGTTTGATTCCCAGCACCCACATGGTGACTCACAACCATTTGTAACTCCAGTCCCAGGGAATCTGACACTCTCTTAAAAAAGGAAAGAAAAGAAAATGTTTCATTTAGAAGAACATTCATTCACTCAACAAATATTTATTGAGACCTCAATCTGCCAGGCACTCTTCAAGGCACTGGACTAGCAAGGTCGGATTTAGGCTTCTTCGGTTGTGAGATAGGGTATCACCACATGTCACACACTGGCCTGAATTCAAGCTCCTGCCTTCCAGAAGGACCGATGTTAGTCACTACACACTACTAGCTTGAAAACAGATCTCCTTGTTATCATGTGGACAAGAGGTGGAGGGTTGGCAGCTTCTGAGATATGTGGCACTCTGGGATATAAACCAGATATATATATTTCATGTATGAACAGACAGAGATGGCACTAACAAACTTAAGTGAGAGCAAGCAGGCTACATCACAAGATATATAACACGCCATGGTGTAGACAGAATAAACCATGGGAGCAATCCTGACTGGATACTGAATTATGAAGTTGAAGCCCTGTGACAATGAGACATGTCTGCTCCTGGCAGCACCAATTGACCTCAGAGAAGAGGGGCATCAAAGAAAGTTCATATGGAGTTTATTTTCTTTGTGACAAAAGTTAGCTACTGGGCAATAGACTGCCCTTGCTTCAACTGATGACAGAATGCTGTCCAAATTGGACAAGCATGCTGTGGGATGTTCTGTATGGCAAATGTTTTGTTCTGATTTGTTAGTAAATAAAACACTGATTGGCCAGTAGTCAGGCAGGAGGAAGTATAGGCAGGACAAGGAGGAGAATAAAGCTGGGAAGTGGAAGGCTGAGTCGGAGAGACACTGCCAGCCGCCATGATGAGAAACAGCATGTGAAGATGCTGGTAAGCCACGAGCCATGTGGCAAGGTATAGATTTATAGAAATGGATTAATTGAAGATATAAGAACAGTTAGCAAGAAGCCTGGCATGGCCATACAGTTTGTAAGCAATATAAGTCTCTGTGTTTACTTGGTTATGTCTGAGCGGCTGTGGGACTGGCGGGTGAGAGAGATTTGTCCTGACTGTGGGCCAGGCAGGAAAACTCTAGCTACACAAGCAGGAGACAAAAGAAAGTGACTACTGAACTTTGCCAAGACAAGGCAGGACAGTCCTTCAAAAATTCTGCTTCACAGAAAAGTCTGTCAGATATTCTAGGCCTGTATGCCAAAGATGGATACCCCAACGTTACAGAGGAACCTTGAGTAACTGTCCAGGCAGCCAGCTGTTTCTATCACTTTTTATTTTTAGAAGTTGTTTGCTCTACACTTCCTGTTTACTCAGATAATATTATATCCTTCTCAGGTCTCTGATGGAGTTGAAGACTAGATAGTTATCTAGTTTTCTTTGTTACCAGACTCAGAAAAGAAACTCACTAAAGAGGTGTAAAGTGTATAAGGTTGAGAGACATAAAATGATAGTTTGAGTTGGTAATGCAAGTTAGGATAGAAGGTGAATTAGGTACAAAACTTTGGACTCACCAAGATGGGATAGATAATGGAGTATTTTCTATGAATGTATCATATGCTAATGGGCTAGACATTGCTAATGTAATTATTGCCTGTATATATTTGTATATAGTTATTATACTTAATTATATATAGTTTTTCTATGTTAGTTAAAACCTTCACTTTTGTTTAGACAAAAAGGGGGAAATGTTTTATTATATTTTGTTTGTGTTCTGACACATAAAGCTTGCCTGGAGATCAGAGGGTGAAGCTACCTACTAGTTAATCATAGAGGCCAGGCAGTGGTGGCACACATCTTTAATCCCAGCACTTGGGAGGAGGAAACAGGAAGATCAGGAGTTCAAGGCTACCCTGGGCTACATGAGATTGATCCAGTCTAAAAGAGAAACAGAGCCCGGTAGTGGTGCATGCCTTTAATCCCAGCACTAGGTAGGATCATGCCTTTAATCCCAGCACTTGGGAGGATCAAGCCTTTAATTCCAGCATTTAGGAGGCTCATACCTTTAATCCCAGCATCAGGAGGTGGAGACAGGAATATAAGGTGGGCAGAGATAGGATCTCGGCTCCATTCAGTCTGAAGAGTTGTAGAGCCAGGTTCCCACCCCACCCCTCATTCGGTCTGAGGATTTATAGATTTGTAGAGGTAAGTAGTTAGTTTCTAGTGGCTGCTACTCTGCTTCTCTGATCTTTCAGCTTTCACCCTCAATATCTGACTCCTGACTCCAGGTTTTGATTGCTAAGACTAATTAGGATCATGTTTCAAAGCCCAATGTCTGGAGTTAGAGATTATGAAATTTATCATCACCACATCCCTCCACACAACTCAAGGGAGAGAATGGCAGGACTGTGCGCCTAGTAGGCACCAGTCCAACTGAAACCTCATAAACCACCACGTGGGAGCCACATCCTCAGTTGGCAGATGTTAAAATCTAGGCTCAGAGAGTTACAACTTTCCCTAGCCCACATGGGACACAAGTGCCATGGGCAGGGTTTGCAGGTTAGGCTCCGCAGGCTAGCATATCCCCAAATGACCCCAAATTAATTGAAGCTCAAAGGCGGGATGAGTCCAAGGTGTTTCTGACAGTGCTTTGCCCAAGCTGCAACTGGAAACTTCTCTGCCATCTTGGGTTCTGCACGCACACGTGTACCGTGCACTACGCCATGCCACCGTGCTTAGTCACCTGGACACAGATCGGACACGACTGCATGTTGCAAACTGTAGTGCTTTTACTGTACAAAGATCCCTGCTCTTCATGGCTTAGTTACAGAAAACAAAGACTATTCATGTTCCCCACTGTCACTCCTCCACGTGTAAGTATCAAGTTCTTCTATTTTTTTTTTTATTGTATTGTATTAGAATGTTGGATTTTTAAAGATTGGCACCTGAGGTGGCTGGAGAGATGGCTCAGTGGTTGAGAGCACTGGCTGCTCTTATAGAAGACCCGAGTTTGATTCCCAGCACCCACATCAGGTGCCTCACAGCTGTCTGTAACTTCAGCTCCACAAGATCTGACACCTTTGGCCTCCATGAGCACCTGCACTCACATGAGCAGACACACAATCCATACACATAATTAAAAAGAATAAAAATACATCTTAAAAAAAAGACTGGTGTCTGGGTTGCTAACTTGAGTTTCACACACACACACACACACACACACGTGTTAAATGGATCTTGGCTTGGGATTAAGACAGAGTTTCCAATTTCTGAAATGGCCCTAAACATAACTTCCGCCATTTTGTACTATGTATTTATACAATGCAGCATTCTCAGCATCAATGTTCATAAAACCAAAGCTCAGTGAATTGTGAAAAACACTGAAGACACTTTAGGTCTTACGGCCTCAACATTCAGTCTAGAGTCAATCCCTTATACAAAAATAAACAAGTTCATCCATCTCACTAGTATGCGAATTTGCTTTTGCTTCTAATGAGTGGTAAAATGATATTGCATACCAAATCATTACTTTAAAATCAATCTCTTTATGGTTTCTCAACAGCAAATGCTTGACTTGTATGCCTATTTTATATAATTTGAGAGTGGGCAAGTCACAAGTGGAAAACCTTACGAAGCCCTGGTCTCGGGGAGGAGGGCCCAGTGCCACGCCAGGGGACAGATGGGAGTAAAATGGAAGTAGGTGAAACATCTGCTATTCCACCCTCTGAGACTACATTGAGACACAAGCTCTCACAATACAAGGGCTAGGCAAAGTCCAGGGACAGAGCTCTTACCTGAAGCCTCCCAGGCCATGGGACAAGATGATCAAGGGGTATCCAGATTCCTTTGTCTTAAAGGGGCCATTCCAGCTAACAGGCAAGCGACAAGATCCTGGCAGAGACACAGGCTGTAGCATCTCTGGCTGCCCTGAACTGTGATCCCAAGGGCAGCCTGGGTACAGGCAGGGGTGGGCATTTGGGGTCCTCCCCTCTCCAGAACCACCAAGAAAAAAAATTTCCAAAAAAGCAGTACTGAAGAAATCTGGAGCAGATATGTGAGGTGCCAAGGCCATGGGGAACACCTGGAGTGGGGACTTGGGATTGGGGAGGGAAAACAGCCCCAGAGGGCAAGCTGCAGGATTATGGGTGCTCCCTGAGAACCAAGAATGTCCGATACAGCTGCTGGGGTGGTGGTAGAGCATATGGCTAGTGGGATGTGGTTCAGTGATAAGTGGTAGGGTGCTGGCCCTGGTTTGATCCCCAGTACTGAAAAGGGGGGCAATGATCTATAGACTGGGTGAGAATGCATGCTGGATTTAGGAATCACAGCCATGCCCCCATCTCATGTCCAAACATTGCACTATCTGGCACCACAGCTCTACAAAAGCTGGCAGGCGAGCAGGGTAAGTGACTTGCCTAAGTCCCAGTAAATTACAAAGCCTGGATTTGAAGCGATGACCCAAATTTTCACACACTCAATTCTCTCCCATCTCTCCATACCAAGGACTGGACTGTACAAGTTAAAAGTTACTGTGTCTGCCTGGGTTTCTCCTGGGGACATAAACAGGCCACTGGGAAGACACCCAGGCCAGGCCAGGCCATACTTACCCAACCCCAGGTTGAAGAGCGACCCCACCCATCGCTTGTTATACTGCAGGTAGTCAGCCAGGCCCAAGCAGTACTCATAGCGGGGAATCCACAGGGGCTGCTCACACGTCTCTGATGCTTGGCAGGGGTAGAAGAGTCGGAAGAGGCTACCCTGGGGAAAAGCAGAGAGCAGCTGCTGGGCCAAGAAGCCTAGGCACTGTGAGTCAGCAGGAGTCGGGGCACCAGCCAGGCTGGTCACAGCGAAGGGAATCAAAGGCTTCCTCAAATCCAGAAACAACTTTGTTGTTGGCATATAGAACATATAGCTTTTGTTCTTCCAGTCATCAAGCTGCATTTTGAATTACATCCTGGGACAGCACCGCACCAGAACATGGCGAGTTCGTGGGCCCAGGCTTGGTGCGAACAGGGGAACTGAATTTGCTCTTAGGTTGAACAGGGTGGCAGTGGCGGATCATCCAAGCCACTCTTCCAGGTTGCCTCTCAGGAGGCAGCAGGATGCTTGGTCACAAGGGAGCAGGAGAGGGGTTACCAGGAAGTGGGTGTCTCTCACAGGACAGAGGTGAGTCCAACCATTAGGAACAAAAACCTAAGAACCTGCAGGGCCATGGTGGCACATGCCTGGGGTCCTGGAGATGGGAGGATCGGGGGCTCATTTATGGTTATCCTTGGCTACATTTCTATTTGGAGGCCAGCCTGAGCTACATGAGAAACCTGTCTCAAAAAATGTTTAAAAAGGAGGAGGAGGAGGAAACAAAGAAAAAGAAAAGCCTAGAAACTGCCAGAAGGTTCCGAAGGTGGGAAACAAACAGAAGCAGGAGATGAAGACACCACCCTCCCACCCAAGGCGCAGCAGTCATGACGGTGTGCGTGGCCCCCTGTGCCTACACCCACTCACCTACACCAGGATGAGATCAAAAACCTTTCTGGGAGCAGATGCCCATACTCAAGACAGGAGGAAGGGTCTGCGAGCTGCCTTTGAAGCCAGGCACCTTCTCCTTGCTGGTGAAAGAACTGAGTTTCTCTGTCAATTGGAAAGGTTCTAATGTTTTGAAAGAGGATTTTTTTTTTTTTTTTTTAAAAAGGCAGGTAGACAGGCCTAAGGGCTGATAACCAAATCCAGCCCAGCTCCCCAGAACTGCACACTTGGACCTACAGTGGCAAAGTCCCCACGTGGGCAGAAGTCGTGGAACAGTGCAGGGGCAGAGCTTGGGACACCTACCTCAAGACTCTGACCCTCCATCACATCTGTGCAGCCAACATGGTGGGGTCCCGAGATGGGTGGAAAGCACATGGACTGGCTGCTCCCCATCTCATCAGCTGGACTACAGCCTGGGTGTCCTGAACTTGCGGGCTGGAAGGAGAGCACAGAACAGCCTCTTGCTGGTCTCTTCTCTGCCTGGTGCTTCTCTAGGTCATGTGTTAACCCTGCCCATTTCCTGACATCCTTATCACCCCGGCCTTCCTGCCAGCTACTCAATAAACCACATGCATCATTTACGCTTGCTATTTGCCAACGTTTACAGGCCGGCTTTTTGGTTGTAGTTTTTGTGGTGGTGGGATCGAACCCAGGGCCTTGCACATGCTAGCAAGTGTTCCATTCCCAGCCCTAGGGACCATAGTCTTCATTTTCTTTGGTGGGGTGAGGAGATGGTAGTGATGAGCTAATCCTCAGTTCCCAGAGAGCTTGCCTGGCATTCAAGAAGCCCTGGGTTCAATCCCTAGCCCTGTATAACACGGTTATGATAACACCTGTAACCCCAGCATTGGGAAGGTGGTGGATGCAGGGTTAGGAACTCAGGGCATCACTCAGCTACATCGTGAGTTGAAGAGACCCTGCCTCAGGATTAACACATACTGACACTGCACCTACCATGTGTCCATCCAGCAGTAACTGCTGTAGTGAGCACAACCCAGACATTGCTTCATCTAACACTCTGAGAAAGGAGGTATCAGGACCAGTTTTACAGATGGGCACACCAAGGCAAGAGAGAGCTATCTTGGCTATGGTGTGTGTGTGTGTGTGTGTGTGTGTGTGTGTGTGTGTGTGTGTGTGTCCTAACCCATAACCCACCCTGTTTAAAGCAACAAAATTTAGATTCCTATTCCTTACAGCCCAAACCAACTATATGGGCAGGGTCCTGGGCCCACGTGGTTTGTTTTGACATTATTCTGATTCCTCCTCTGGGAGGATGAGTGTGCAGGTCAGAGCATGCCTGAGCAAGAAGAGACCTTAGGGGTGGCTGCTGCCAATGCTCCCTGCAATCTCCCCTGGCCCCACCTCTGTACACACATGCGCATCACTGAGTAAGTCAAGCTCCTGAGAGACTCGGAGAGCTGCTCAAGGTCACAGCACAACTGTTACTACACACAGACCTCCTGACTGCCAATCATCTGGTCCCGAAGAAAACCTCAAAGAACCCCAAAGAGTCACTCATTAAATAATGTTGGAGGTGATGATTTTCCTTCTACTATTCATTTTTCCCTTTTGTTTTTCCAATGCACACTTGAAGATACCCGCAATTACAAAGAGGAGGCAGAGGAGGAGCTAAGCTCTGTGGCGGACCGCGCACGCGGTGACTACTCAGCCAGAGGTAAAGAGGAGGAGTCTCCAAAGGTTCACCCAGTGGCTGAGGGCACCCGCTGGCGGTCGAAGGCTGCAGCTGCAGGACACATGTGGATCACATGACAGTGAAGCAGCTGCAGATCCTGTCATACGGGAGAGAGAAAATGCCACTGGAGTTCTGAGGAGGGAGTGTGTCCCTTGAGCGTGGGAGCACAGAGCCGGTGAAGGCTGGGAAAAGAAGAAAGTGTTAGGAAGGGACCTGTGAGACGCGGGGAGGGGTGGGGGGAGGGGGGGCAGCCAGTGCTGGCTTCCAGGGGAGAAAGGGCGGTGTGTGATGCATGTGGAGGCCAACCTCACTCACATGTTGGATCTCGTGTTTCCCTGACACCCTGTTGTTTGAAGCAGGGTCTCTTATTAGCTAGAATTTGACCACACAGCCTTCCCGGATCTACCTGGCTGCCCCTCATTTCACCATCACTGAGATTACAGCATACCATCACCATCAATCAGGTTTTTTTTTTTTAATTTTTAAAATTACATTTATTTGTTTAATGTGTGGAAATGCATGTGTGACAGTATGCTTGTGGGTGTCAGGACAACTTGAGGGAGTCGCTTCTCTCCTAACTCGAGGGTCCCAGAGATCAAACCCAGTCATGTTTAGCAGCAAGTGTCTCTATCCACCTCACTGGACTCTGGCTTCTTTTTTAATGATGGAGTCTCTCTCTGTAGCCCAGGCTGTCCTGGATCTTGCTATGTACACAAGCTAGCCTTGAACTCAGAGATCCACTGCCTCTGTCTCCTGAGTGCAGGTGTTAAAGCCATGTGCTACCATACCCAGCCTTTTCACACCCAGCTTTCTTTTTTTTTTTTTTTTAATGTGAGCTCTAAGGATCTGAACTCAGATCCTCATATCTGTGCATTAACAACTAAGCAGCCCCCCATGAAAGACCCAAGCCTGAGACCCAGCTCCTCTGCCATCTAGCTTGGGCACCTTAACCTGCTCTCTCTAAGCCTCATTCTGCATCTGCATAAGGGGATTTCTATCAGTCTGTGGTTGCTATGGAGATAAATGAAACCATGCAATTAAAACACCTTTCATAGTATCCGGCATGAGCAAGATTCGTCGCACCCGTATTTGTTGATTGCAAGAAAAGCAGAAACAATAGAGTTTGGCAACTGTGTAGATTTGGGAACCAGAGGGAAAAGGGAGAGGCAAAGATGGGGTGGGGTTGAGGGCTGTGTGGCCAGGATTTTGTGGAAAGGGATTTTGTCTCATCTGAGATCAGTCTTTGGGTCAGGCATCAGGAAAGTATATTTGAAAGCAGTCATGGAGGTGGGGAAGTACAGAACCCTGGTGATCCTGGCAGGCTTCTGGGAGGACCCATCAGCTAAATTCTGCTTGGAAATAAATAAAAACCAAGGAAGACAAATGACCAGACTGAGGCTAACCTGAAACAGCCTGAGTTCCCCAGGCCCACATGGACTGATGACCAAGAAGGACAAGACGGGATAAAAGCCAATCGCAGGATAAAAGCCAATCTCAGGATAAAAGCCAATCTCAGGATAAAAGTCAATCTCATTGGCAAATTACAACGAAGAGATGCCCAGCCTTATTTCTCATAAATGGCATGGGATTTTTGTCCAGGGGAGTTGGTCAGGTGGGTTCCATTGCTGACCTTGGCTCCGCAATTCATAGCAGTGCCTGTCTGGAGCCTCTCCATCATCCAGACCCACTGAGACCTCCTAGTCCACTGGGATTTCCTAGACTCCAGCCTTCCCTCTTCTCAGCTCTGAGCAGGGTCCCCCTCCCTCACCTGGACTCCCCCGCACAGGCTGCAAGGTGCGGTGTCTAGGCTGACAGTCTGAGTCTCAGTGACTCGCTTCCCACAGTATCCATGTGGAATCTATGTCAGAGGTTTCTGAACCCACTACCCAATCTCCCTGCAATCTCTAACACTGTATTTCCTCCATTTGCAGAAAAAGCAATGTCTTTTTTTTTTTTTTTTTTGAGGGCCTAGAGCCGGAACCCAGGGCCTTTCAAGGCAAGCACTTTACAAGCTACACTCCCAACTCCAAGTTAATGTGGTTTTTTTTTTTTTTTTTTTTCTTTTTTTGGTTTTTCGAGACAGGGTTTCTCTGTGTAGCTTTGCACCTTTCCTGGATCTCACTCTGCAGGCTGGCCTTGAACTCACAGAGATCTGCCTGTCTCTGCCTCCCGAGTGCTGGGATTAAAGGCGTGCGCCACCCACCCCCCCAAATTAATGTTTTTAAATCCTAGGTGTTTCTGGCCATTAGGATTTGAGGATCTCTGGGGGCGGGGGAAGGGGAGGGTCTTTTCTTTCATTCAGACACGCATGGTCACATGCATGCAACCAACACTGAACGTACCCTATGGACTTGACTATCATCTCACTGGGCAAATCGCCACGGCCACTCAGAAACACACAGGTTAATACAGGCAAGATGGCTCAGCAGGCAAAGGAGCTTGCCTCTAAGCCTGATATCCTGTGTTCAGTTCCCAGATTCACATTGTGAAAGGAGAGGAGATCCACCCCAGGTCCACCTCTGACCTCCACACGCTCACCACAGTACACAGATACCCAGTCACACACGAATAAATAAATGTTAAAAAATTACTTTCTCTAATAAGAGCTGTATAATTTTTCACACACAATGCCTTTTCTCTTCATGTGAACTCCATGGAGTAAAGACCATGCTTTAGCCGGGCAGTGGTGGCCACACCTTTAATCCCAGCATTCGGGAGGCAGAGGCAGGTGGATCTCTGTGAGTTCAAGGCCAACCTGGTCTACAGAGAAAGTTCCAGGACAGCCAAGGCTACACAGAGAAACCCTGTCTCGAGAAAGAAAAAAAAAAGTCATGCTTTCTTTCTGTAGGACACTATCTATCACATGCTTTCCACAGGCAGTGAGAACTTACTGTGTCTTCTTTTGGCTTTAAAATCTTTCAATTCTTCTCCTCAGCTGTTCTGAGACAGGGTCTCTCTGGGTAGCCCAAGCTGGCCCCAAATTCAAGAGTTCCCTGTTCACCTCCCAAGTGCTAGAACAATAGGTGAGTACCACTATATCCAGCTTAATTCATTTTGTTGTTGTTGTTTGCTTGTTTGGTTTTTGTTTTGTTTTGGTTTTTTGAGACAGGGTTTCTCTGTGTAGTTCTGATGCCTGTCCTGGATCTCACTGTAGACCAGTGCTGGGATTAAAGGTGTACACCACTGCAGCCCGGCCTTAATTAGTTTTTAATCTATCATGTTTATCAAAAAAAGTTCTATGCGACAGAGGGAAAAGAAAAGTTTTGGTGACTTTGAATTCCATCTCTGCTACTTACCAGCTGGATGAGATCTACGTGTGTGTGTGTGTGTGTGTGTGTGTGTGTGTGTGTGTATTTAAATATATAAAAACGTTTATTTATTTATTGGAGGGGTGCCATGGCACCCCATGTGGAGGTCAGAGGACACCTGCAGGAGTTGGTTCTCTCCTTCCACCTTTCGGGTTTCTGGAATAGAACTTTAGTCATCAGGCATGACAGTGCCTTTACCCCACTGAGCAATCTAGCCAGCCACAGCTGTGAAACCTTCAACAAATGCCTTAAACTCTAAACCTGTCATCTACAGCTACTCATGAGGTCAAAGATTACGTGTGTAAAGTGTCTGGCATATTGAAGACACTGTGACTTCGTGAGGCAGCTATAACTAATTATTCTAACTACATGCCTGCTCCAAGTTTAGCTTTCTTATATGTGAAAACAGGGACACCTCACAAGTGAGGTTTTAAGGAGAAAATTAATACTGCCTAAGGCCTGGAACATTGTAATTACTCCTAAAACGCCAGCAACTAATCAGCAATGCTGTGTCTCTCTTTCAAAATACCCAGCTGAGGTCTTCCATTTTTCCCGGCATAGAGTCCTTTGGCAAAATGAATCTTTCTCTCCCAGGCTTCTCACACTTGAGACACACCTACCAAAGTCCACTAAAGAGGCCCAGAAGAGCCCAAAGGCAAAGGACGGGCCTTTCATTGCAGCGCTGTCCTGCTGGAGTCCTGCTTCTAGCGAGCAGCTCTGTCTCTCTGCCAGCCCTGTGGACTTTTTCATCACCGGCTATTTCAGGCCAGAGTCCAAGACAAGCACCCCTCTTGGGCCTCCTTTCTGACAAAGCTCTCTGGAGGCTATGGCCCGGGTGACTGTCTGATCTTTGGTCTCTGGAGGAAGTGAAGCAACAACCTGGTCTTAGATGAAGACATCAAGAGCTCGAGGGACGGGATTGAGCAACGAGGCGGCAGAACCAGAAAGGTTGCCCTGATAAGAATGTTCTAGGGCACCAACAAAAGAGCGCCTGTGTTGCTTGTGGGGGCCTGCAGTTTACAAAGCACTTCCACACCCGGTAATATAGGAGAAGAGAGTCCCAGACAGCCTGCGCGATTTGCCCAGGGTCGCAGGGAGTGAGGCACAGTTCTTCGCTGCACTTCCAAGTTCACAACACTGGGAGGAAGGATTTGGCGGTCTTCCTCCACCAGCAAGACAAACAGGACAAAGACGAGTGGGGCGCAGCGTGGAGGACACAAAGTAGCCGGGACTCAGGGACGTGAGGCGGGGGGTGAGGGTCAAGACGGGAATCTCGGGGCGTGGGAGTGACAGTCCGTGGTGACCCTGGGAGGGCTTAGGGGCGGGGTGGATTCTGACGGGATTTGTCTGAATAGAAAATAGAGACAATGAAGAGCAAACATTAGCGTGCAGATTCTGAGACTGAAAGACAAGAAGGCCCACGCTGGAATATAAAAAGGTCTTTGGATAGCTCAGTTGAGAACTGGAGCTTTCGCCAATCAAACTTACCCAGTCGCGCTGATCACTCAGAAGCAATCTCAGAAGAATTGCTCGACGGAAACCCGACACCGCCCCGGAGCCCGTGGCCCTCTGGGAGTAGTAGTTCCTTTCCACTTGCGAGCTTAAACCTTATGTTCGGACTCTGGTTGTTAAACTACAAGTCCCGAGGCGCAAAGCGAGAGACACCGCCTTGACATCCCAGGACTACAATTCCCAGAGTTCCTGACTACACTCTTGGTGGAGTAAAACCAGCCGAGGCCAGGGATGCGGTGAGATTGCTCCCCCTGATGGTCTGAGGAGCAGCAGCCGAGGTGACACGCCTCAGGCGGAGGGTTATAGCACTGAAAAGTAACCCTCCGCCTTACTGGTACTCACATAGTTCCCAGGCGTGCCTGGAAATATACCTGGCTTCATTTTCTTCTCAGGAAGATGTGGGAATGGAAGGTTGTTTTTGTTCCTGTAGACGTTGTTTCCTGTAAGAGACTGATGGTTTAAGCTGAGGGCACATCTCTTGCCGTCAATCGCCCCTGTTGACACCTAGGATTTTCCATTGTTCTCAGGAGACTCTCTTAAGCGGAGAACAGGGAGGAACCAGAGAGGTGCTACATCTCAACCTTCCTTCCTGTATGCACCTCCGTTTAGTGCCCCGTGCTGGGTTTTGGGGGACACATTGATGAACAAGATACTGTCCCGAGGGTCAAGAGAATTCACTCTCTAGCAGAATTCAAAGAGGGATGGGAGAACCACAGCGAGAGTGGGAGACTTGGAAAGCACCCGCCCACGCTAGAGGAAAGGGAACCCTGTCTCAAGATGCTCAAAGGACAAGGACAGAAAGGACTTAGTACGGGAGTGTGGAGATTTCAGAGGAGACAGAGTCGAGTTCAGTCTTACGGAGCCACAGGATGTGAGGGCTGGAATGCAAAGTCCAAAAATGTCAACACAATCCATGACACTCAAAAATCGTGGGTGTTGGGGTACATGTCTGTAACCCCAGTGTTTAGGACACAGAGGCCTATTTCATATAGCGAGACTGTCAAAATCCCACCACACACACACACACACACACACACACACACACACACACACACACACCCCACTAAAAATATTCAACAGTTCTTTACAATTTACTGAATGAGGTCCCAATTTCTTACCCTGGCGTTTAAGCACTCTCTGAGTCCACCTCTGTGTTGTTCATTCCACCCTGGCAGGAGTCAGCGTCCTCCTGACAAGAGTCTCCGTCCTCTGACAGAAGTCCTGGTCCTCTGACAAGAGTCCCCATCCTCTGACAGGAGTCCCCGTTCTCTGACAGGAATCCCCATCCTGTCGTCTGACAGAAGTCCCGGTCCTCCACCCAACCCCAGCTGTATGCGGTGAACGCCTCAGCCACCTAAGGATGCTGAGTTCCCCTTGCTCCCTCCACTCTCTAGCTTGACCAGGTATTCTGGTGTCCTGAAGTGCTCTGCCCTGCCTGCTGCCCTCTCCTCTTATCCTGCTTCTGAGGTTCACTCTCCAAGACACTTTCATGACTCCCACTGTCCCAGTGGACCTTGGCTTCTTCTCAGTCAATGGAACATTTACAGACTTCTTGCTGGGAGTCTTTACCTTCACTTTATGGCATCAAGCAGGATGAAGGTCTTTTTTGTTTGTTTTGTTTTGTTTTTCAAGACAGCGCTTCTCTGTGTAGCCCTGGCTGTCCTGGAACTCACTCTGTAGACCAGGCTAGCCTTGAACTCAGAGGTCTGTCTCTGCCTCCCGAGTGCTGGGATTAAAAGCGTGCACCAACAAACTAAACTCTTGGAGGTCAATGGTCCTACATCTGTGATGTGCGTGTCCCATTGAGTCACCAGTGTTTGGAATCCTGCTTCAGGTTTCTCCAGGCTCATTTCTCCTCCTGAAACATATCACCACCACCATCCTTCCAGGAGCCATGATAAGGCCATCAGAAGAGAGATAGCAGCAATATATTAAGCCATAGATTCAATTAATGCCGTGGTTGTTGTTGGTGGACACAGAACATAAAAATTTTAGTGTAGACTGGAGAAGGCTCTCTTGGTTAATTAATCCAGCTGTGCAGCTGGCCCAGAACACTCGTGACAACACAGGGTCCCCTGGTCATGAGAGGAGGGGCTGTATTTCCATCATCGACTCCCCAGCAGGCATGCTGACCTCCAATGCTGTAAGATTTCAAGTCAGCTACCATGCCGGCCTTCCCTTGGGCCTAAGCCAGGTTGAAGGAGATTTGGTCAGTAACATATAAAAAAGTGCTCTTTGTCCAGTAAGAAAAAAGGCAAGCATTAGCAGAATGGTATCTTACCCACTATGTATTTTGTGACCAGAGATGTAACAGTGTAGTATGTCTAAGAATAAAGACTCTGCTCTCTGCTTCCCGGATAAGCCGAGATCTTTGCCATCTTCATTTTGGTGTCCATGGTCTTGTCGGCGTTCATCATTCACAACACACTTAGCTGGTGCTTGGATGTACAACTTTGGATTCCCTATTCCTCCTCCCTGCTGAAGTAGGACGCTACCTTCTAAGATCAAGAAATTAGTATGTAATAAACACCATTAATTTTTTTTTGAGAGGGGGGTTTTACTATGTAGCCCAGGCTAGCCTCAAACTTGCATTCCTCTTCCCTCCATCTCCCAAGGATACATGATACTACAACCAGCCTAAACATTCTAATTTTAAAAAAAAATTGTAAGATTTACTTTTATCTGAGTGTTTTCAGTGCATATATGTATGTGAACTGCATGTATGTGAACTGCATGTATATATGTGCATATATATCTGGTGCTTATGGAGGCCAGAATAGAGTGCTAGATCCCCTGGAACTGGAATTAAAAATGGTTGTAAGCTACCATGTGGGTGCTGGAAGTTGAACCTAGGTCCTCTGGAAAACAGTTCTCTTAATCTCTGAGCCATCTCTCCAGTCTACTAAACATCTAATCTTAAATGTGTAACTCCAAACTGTGTGTACGAGCATGTGTATGAGTGTGTGTGTGTGTGTGTGTGTGTGTGTGTGTGTGTGTGTGTGTGTGTGTATACAGTACATGCTTGTGGATGCATGGGCTCCTGTACCAGTGGGTGTGCCTATGGAGACCAGGGCGGTATCCTGGATGTCTTACTCTACCACTCCCCACCTAATTGCCTTGAGACAAGGTCTCTTACTAAACTAGAAGCTCGCTCTTCGGGCTCAGCTGACTTGACAGTGAACTCCTGGGATTCACCTGTCTCTGCCCGCCTATGTTGAGGTTTTAGTAACATACAGCCATGCCCAGCTTTTTATGTGAGTGCTGGGGATTCAAACACAGGTTCTCATGCTTCTATAGCAAGTAGGCTTCCCCTCTGAGTCATCTCTCTAGTCCCCTTGGTTTTTAAAAAGATTTCTTTTACATGCACGGGGTGTTTGGGGGGCAGGTCTGTCAGTGCACCACGAGTGTGCCTTGTACTAAAAGAGGCCGGAAGAGGGAGTCAGATCCCCTGAAACTGGAGTTAGAGGCCTTTGTGATCTGTTGTAGGCTCCCTTAGAGCAGTTGAGTGCTCTTAACTGAGGAGCCATCTTCCAGAGCATCCCTGTGCCCCTCCCCACCCGCTGTTGTTAAAGCCTCTGTTTGTAGAACATTTCCAATACCCAGAAAGGCTGCAACTTAAAACCAATCTCCTCCTGACCTCTAGAGAGAGAACTGCTGTTCTTCCTTCTCTCATTGTCCCAGGGTTCAGGGCAAACAACATCGTAAATTTTGACAAGGCTATTTTGTGCCCCTTGAACAATACCCATGCCAATGCCATTCTAGTCCAAGGTCACGGGGACACGTTGGTCAGTAAGCAAGCTGCAGTTATCCTTGTAGCAGTGAAGGGTAAAGAAGGTGACGGGGACACAGAGGACCAGTTCAGTAAAAGGGTGCTGGCAAAGGACTCCTCATTAAGTCTAGGTTTCTGTTAGATTATTCTGGGTGAGTACTAAAAGAAACAGGGCTTTGCTTTGAGGTGGAGGCTTCCAAGAAGTATCAGGGCCAGAGAGTTGCCTCAGTAGGTAAAGACAATTGTCACCAAGCCTGACAATCTGGGCTTAATCTCAGGGCCCACTTGATGAAAGGAGATAACCAACACACACACACACACACACACACACACACACACACACACACACACACACACACACGAGTAAATAAATATACTTTCAAAATTTAGAGAAGTAGCAATAAGTTGAAGAAAAGCCATCATTTGGGTGCTGGGTGCCCAGGTTCTCTGGAGGAGCAGCCAGTGCTTTTAACCAATGAGCCGTCTCTCCAGCCCCACCCATGCACCCTTGACCAAAGAATGGTCTTATACTGGTGTGGTGGTATTGTGTTCCCCAAAATATTGTGCACCCTAATAAACTTATCTGAGGTCAGGGCACAGAACAGCCACTAGATACAGAGGCTAGAAAATGGTGGCACTCACACCTTTAATCCTAGCATTCCAGAGGCAGAAATCCCTCTGGATCTCTGTGAGTTCAAGGCCACATTGGAAATGGCCCGGGCATGGTGACACATGCCTTTAATCCCAGAAAGTGAGCCTTTAATCCCAGGGAGTGGTGGTAGAAAGCAGAAAGGTATATAAGGCGTGAGGACCGGAAACTAGAAGCATTTGGCTGGTTAAGCTTTTAGGCTTTGAGCAGCACAGTTCAGTTGAGACCCATTCTGGATGAGGACTCAGAGGCTTCCAGTCTGAGAAAACAGGATCAGCTGAGGAACTGGCGAGGTGAGGAAGCTGTGACTTGTTCTGCTTCTCTGATCTTCCAGCATTCACCCCAATAACTGGCCTCAGGTTCGATTTTATTAATAAGATCCTTTTAAGATTCGTGCTATATACTGGGGATGTGGAGCTTGCAGCGTAGGGAGGGACCCACACGGAGCAGTGGTGGAGGAAGGTGACACCAGCCGGATCAATGAACCAACCTTGGTGATCAATGGAGTGCGTGGCCACCTGGCCCTCCATTCAAGAAG